AGCACTGGGTGGAGCTCTTTATTATTATATAGAGTCAATAACAACATATTGCCCACATGTGTAGTGAGCAAGCTGACCAGGGCCAGGTAAGAATCCTGGCCATAGGAACCTTCATTTTCTCTGCAACAAGGATTTAGCAACACACACATACACACACACAATACTAATCATAGAGGAAAACATGATAACTCATACTTCAACAGAATTAAAACTTCTGGCATAAATAATAAGGAAAAAGACAACCATAGGGGAAAATGTGAGAAAAATACTTGAACTGGTATTCCACAAAAGGTGACATCTAAATAGCTGATAAGCATACAAAAAAATGTGTTAACATTATTGGTTATCAGGAAAATGTAAATTAAAATCATAGTGAGCTCATGCAGATAGAGTCAATTGTTTCTGACAAAGGTACAAAAGCAATCAGTGAAGAAAAGATAGTATTCTACCCCTTAGAAATGTCAATGTCCTCATCCCTAGAATCTATGAATATGTAACTTTGTGTAGCAAAGGGCAACTAAGATTACAGATGGAATTAAAGTTGCTAATTAGCTGACATGATTAGGAAAGGAGATTATCCTGGATTCCCCAGGTGGGTGCAATTTAATAAGGGTGGACAGAGGCAAGAGAGAGAGAGAGGGAGAACCACAGAGGAGCAGACCTTGGAGGACTCAGGATGTGTTGCTGTTTGAAGATGGAGGAATGAGACCACAAGCACAGAAATAGAACAGCCTCCAGAAGCTGGGAAAGGTAAGAAAATAGATTCTATATTAGAAGCTCCAGTAAAAACAGCCCTGTTAACACCTTTATTTTCATCCAGTAAAACCCAATTCAGACTTCTGACCTCCAAACTATGGTTGTGTTGTGTTAAGCCACAAAGTTTGTTGTTATTATTACAAGAGCTGTAGAAAACTAATACAGATGTCCACATGCAAAAAAACCTAGGCAGAAATTCTAGTCCTCAAGAAAATAAGGCCATACACTCTCAAAAAGACATACACAAAAATTTTTATAGTAGCTTTATTCATACGACTGAAATAACACAAATGTCTATCAGGAAAATGGAGAAAAAAATTGTGGTATAATTCCACAGTGAATTATAAAACAGCAATAATGCAACAATATGGATTAATCTTAAACACATAAGGGTGAGCAAAAGCAGCAGCCATAAAGTCTGCATACTGTGGTTTCATTTGTGTGGACTTCTAGAACAGGCAAAACTAAACTATGGTGATAGAATAGTAGTTATTATAGGGATTGGGTAATTAATGAGAACAGCAAGAAGACATTCTGGGATGATAGAAATATTTTATACAGAGTCAATAACAATGTATCTTGATCTGGGTATTGGCTATAGGTGTGTAAGCATATACAAAAGTTTTCAGAGAGCTTTTAAGATGTATATTCTACTTCATGTAAATTTCACCATAATGTTGAGAAACCACAAGTTTCTTTTCTGGATGGGACTTCGGCCTTCTGGTCTGGTAGCAGAGGTGGGGCAAAGGGGAAGAGGAAGAGGACAGATCCACTGGGGAAAACCTGGTCACTTAGACACTGAAGCAGCCCAAGGGGGAAAAGTTAAAATGGTGAAGGTGGTTTTCCCCTTTCTGTGGGGAAGTTGGGGTCCCTATGGCCAGGATCCTCCCGGAACTTAAACCACTTGATGATGTAACTGGCTTGTTGCTGGGCTACCGCTTCCACACCTGTAGGCAATAAGCTATTATGTTATATAGAGAGCTTGGCCCAGTGCTCTGGGGAGGTAGAGATGCTAGTGCTCGACCTATCGCCGGAGAACAAGCCGGGTAATAAACCCTTTCACCCCAAGAACGTTTTCTAGTCCTTCTTTTCAGTTAGCTGCTTGGGACCCATGCTCTTCCAATTAGTAGAAAGTGACATTTCATCTGTTCATAATTTTTCTCAGTTGCAAGATCAAATTTTTACTGTCTATTATAATCGAAGCACACTCAAGCTGCAAATGCATTAAAAAGTCTCTAAATGATGACTTTGGGCTTTAAAAAACATTTTTCAGTCATTGCTGAAATCATGTGGATGAATCATGATAGGAAAGTGGTTCATTTATGTACTCATCTCCACCTGTAATATCAATGGCAAAGCAAAGAGGTAATTATATCTTCAGAATCTTCTTTCAAATGCCACAAATCAACAAGAGCTTAGTCCCAGGTGTATCTATTTAATCAAAAAAAACTGAGGCAGAATCTCCACTTTTGTTATCATGGTTTTTTAAAATTCAATGCCGCTTAATTATATTCAGCAAAATTAACAACCATTTTCAGGGATTAAAAAAATTCCATTAATATATCCTAAATTAAGGCAGGTTGAGCTCTTGGTGTTGAAAATTGCTTATCTATTTGCAAATAGATTACTGTTTTCCCAGTAGTTATACTTCTGTGTGGTAATTTATAATTCCTTAGACTGCCAGTGTTCTCCACTCCTGCCCAGCCTAGGTGGCCCCAAGCATGTAAACTGAACATGCCCACCATCTCAGGTGACCACATGAAACATCTGAAAATCACCTTTGGGTCCTTCTTTATCCCTTACATGCGATTGATCAACTCTAATGACACCAGCTTGTTTTTATATAAGACTGTGGATAGCTTAAGAGATGTTGATTTTTAACAACTTGTCCCTAGGGTAATCCTCTTTTCTTGATTTCTAATTTCTACTGCTTCCGCCTATTCTAACAGTCATTCTATCTTTAATAATGCAATTTCTTATCAAGGTGAGGCAAGAACATGTCTGGCATTTTCTGACCTATAACGAGCCAGCCAAGGTTACTGCCTCTTAGTGGGCAAGGAGGACGCTGGCAGCTCACAAGCTCAGGGAGGAAGCCAAGGTTTGATGACATAGTGTGTTGTAGGCTGAGGTAAGAATCATGTTCTGTTTTTGTTTTTCCTAGGAGTGATGGGAAAGTATAAGAAAGTTTAGGTTTGAGCAGAGAGGTGAAATGGTCTAAGATGAATGTTAAAGAATCACTTTGTTTGAAGATTAAACCATGGTGAGCAAAAGAGAGGGAGTCCTGGAAGATAAGATTGTTCTGTTCCAAGGGGGGGAGATGATGGTGGCATGGCCTATGTTGATTATGGTGAAGTTCATTAGACATTGTTAGTTTGAGGATATTGGGGTGTTGGTGGCAGTAAGTAGGGCCCATTAGAGGTCCCGAAGGCACCCAAAAATTTTTTTAGCTGAGCTGTTGACTGATAGTTGTGTCATTTTCTGAGACAGAGATCACTGGGAGCAGTACAAGTCAAGAGTTTGGATTTGGAGTTTTAACTCTGTGTCCAACAAATGTCCACGTGGAGATGCCAAGTAGTTTTATACAAATCTTGAGTTTAGGAGAGAGACTGATGCAGAAGGCATATATTTGAAAGTTATAGTATGTTATAATATATAGATGTTGTATATTATATGGAACTGGATGAGATCACCTAGGGAGTGAGTGGTACAGAGATGAGAGGAAGTCAGAAAACTAAGTAAGCTTTGGGAATTCCAACTTTTGGAGATCATGAAATAGGAGAAATCAGCAAAAGAGACTGAGAAGTTGTAGGTTAAACCAAGATAGTGTGGTGTGCTAGAATCAAGATAAGGAAAATTCTTGAAGAAAGGGAAAGTGATCAGCTACTTCAACTGCTATTGAAAATTCTATGAAGATGAAGATGGAGAATCAGTCATTGAATTTAGCAACACAAAGGCCACTGTGGCCCTGAAAAGAGCAATGTGTAATTGTATAATAGGCTACCATTTGTGAAATGTTTGCCATGACTTTCAGCATGCCTGGCCATTATATTAAGAAGCCATAGGCTCAAATTATGCCTGTAACTTGATCAGAGTTAACCATGCAGAGAGGAAGTTGGGGCAAAGCACTGGATTGGCAATTTGGGAATCTAAGTTCTAGTTCAAGCTCTTCCCACTAAGAAAGTCACATGGCATAAGCCAGTCATTCTACCTTTCAAGGCCTCAGTTTCTTCAGAAGTAAAATGACAAGGCTGGAAAAGTTTTCATTAAGCATGTCTATGCTCAGTCAAAAAGCAGTATGTTTTGCATTTTAAAAGAGAAGCTTAGGGAAAAAAAACTTCCACTTGATTACATTCAGTGGGGAGATATTTTTGAGAAGGGTTTACTAGGATCCTCTCACCTGCAGTGATGGGCCCTCTCTTCTCTACTCATCTGCTCAAGTTTATGATGCACAAAGCATCTACCCAATCTTTTCCCTCTCTCCTTTCCCAAATATGCCTTCATCATTTCTACATCATCCTCAGCACCTCTGGAGGTAGGTTATACCCCAAGGAACTGAGAATTGAAAACATGTCCAGCATAGAAACATCATAGTGAATACTGGGACCTGGGCAGGCTTCCTGTGCTTTAACAGGACACATGAATACAAGTACATAATTCCTTTCTGTGTCTGCGTGTAATTACCATAATAAGAAATGGAAAATATGGCATGACAACTCAATGTTTTTTGCTCTGCTATGGAGGGGAGAATTAAGTGAATATAGAAACTTTGTTTATAAGTTACAACAAATCAGCATAGTGTTCTTTTCTGGGGCTTCAAGGAGACTTGATCTGATGGCTTAGCTATTAGTATCTATTAAACTACATGGAACAAAACGAATGAGTTGGTTGTGATAAAACCACAGAAGGAGTCTGGGTATCTATTTAAAAATTTTGGCGAACTGTATCCTGACTTCAATCCTGATAAGAGGCTGGTGTGCATCTTCTGCTTCTTGCTGGGAAGGAAAAGTGCAGGGCAGAGGTGACTCATTTGATTGGCCACCTTCTAAGACATCTGGGTGAGATGTTTTAAACCTGTGAACTTACTGGATCCTGACAACTTTCTGAGGTTGTATTCCCGCTTTATAGCTGAAGGAGTGAGAGGTGCCATAGCTGTAGCTCTTCAGAGACTCTGTTGCTAAGGAAGCTCCCCTTCATTTTACTTTAAATCATCTACTTCACAACTAACTCAAGGATATCTCTTTCAGGAAGGGGTACCTGTCCTCTAGAAGGTTCCTGCCACATTCCACTGAGAGTGCTGAAAAAAACCTTCATTTGTGCATCTATTCCTTCTTCCAATTAGTAAGTACTTTCTATGCTTCACAATTCTTTTTTTATCTTTCTGAATATGATCAATTTCTTCTATTTTTATCCACTAAAATCTCAAGGAAAAGAATATTTACTTTTCCAACTATTTTTGTCAAAAGATACTTTAATAATTCTGCAAATAGGAATGAGGAATGAATGAATGTATTTCTTTTTAGAAAAGGAAACTTGTTTTAATCTATAGAAGGATAAGGTAAGACTTAAAAAATGCAAATTTGTACACAAATCACTATTCTTAAGTCTTAAAATATGTTTAAGATTGGTGACTACTTTTTATCTTTAAAAAATGGACTTTTCTATGGAAGCATCTGACTAAATACTTTAAAATATACCAAATGCCTCTTTGGATAAGTGATCTTAAAGACAATGCATATTGCATGTGTGCTCTTCAAATATGTCTTATGAATTTGGGTCTATACTTTTCAAGCTGGGAGCAGTGATATCATTGTTCTGTGCTATGTCACCAAGAGTTTGCTAGTCTCCTGAGCAATAGATAGTTAAGAATAAATCCCACTGCAATGGATGTTGTCTTGATTATATTCAGCAACCTATTTTGGTATGCAGTAACTGTTTCAAAACTGTCTGTGAACTGATGTTTTTTCAACCTTGAAATTCATAGTGCACTTCACTCCAGGGAAGTGTGACCCAGAGGAAAGTAAGTGATCACTTTGAAGGTGTTCGCCTGGGGAACTGGGTGTGGTGGCATGGACTGCCAACCGCAGACAGGAAGTGTAGGTGGGGACTGTTTGGATTTTAAGATGCTAGGTCATTTGGCCACAGAATACTCAAATATCCCCTCTGCACCCAGCACCCTTACCTCGAGACCTGAACTGGGACATTTCTATTAAGTAAACATGTATTCTGTGTGTTCACGGAACCAAAAAGCAAAACAAAGCATAATCAGAATATTTCTAGAAATGTTCCAAGATGAGCTTACTTTAGGCAAAGCAAGAAGTGGTGATTCAAGGCATGACTTAGTTCCCCTGAGTGACTCAATTCCCAAGGATAAAGGGAGGGAGACAGTACAGACAGAAACAGTTCTATCCCTGAAAGAGGAGGTAGATGGAAGCTTCATCTGGATCATCATGAAAGTTCCCCTGTCATTTTCCCAAAATGCCCTTTTGTACATATAGCAGAACTGTTTATGACTTATTTTTATTGTAATTACCTGGCATCAAGATTATGACAAGACAATCGGTAAGTAGCTCAGCAGAGCCGACTAATATCTGCCAAAAGGAATCAGATTGAATGAGATCTGTTGGCAACATATTTCTCTCTCTTTCTACCACCACCTTTATGTCCACGTCAAGCCTAATTATGCAACGGATTTATGTAGATTCCTAATGCCTTTACACCTGTGATGAAACCCACAAGGGCCTCTCTGTATAAAATTTACAGGTGCACATGTATATATTACTTTGCATATAACAGAGAGGAGGGAAATGGACGTCTGGTGAATAATTTCTCCTTCAGAGGGTAAGCACATTATGAGAGGCATGACACACTGTCACCACCTCCAGCAACAGAGGGGCCTGGCAGATGTAGTGTGACGTGGGGTTTTCTCCCTTAATGTACAACTAAAATCTGTGGACATTATATCTGAAACAAACATGTGAAGACTGAAAGTTGGAGATTAGAAGGCAGAATAGCTAGGCACCTTAGAACTTGAGGAACAACATAGCAGTGAAGTCCCTCCCCAGGTGCACTTTTTGCCTCATGAAGGAAATGAGTGCAGACAAAATACCCCACAAACGTGCTCTCTCCAACCAACACTTTAGGAAAGGGGCAGTCTCTCAAGACTAACAATTTTTGACAATAAATGCTTTCATTCAGCCAAACACCACAGAAAAAAACTGTGACCTCATCCTCATTTAAGCCAGCACAGGCTTAGCAGGAAACCTAGATCATACTCATAAGGTGGTAACCAGGTGCTCCAGATTCCACCAGGATGGTACTGGGGAGGCCAGGGGTGGGTCTGGAACTTCTGTTCCTGCTGTCAGGTAGTGAGCCCTTTCCTGCCCACTCTGTCAGTAGGGATCATGTGGAGAGCAATGACAAGGAGCCCTCCCCACTTTTGGGGTCAGTGAAGGCCAACCTCCACTTGGCAACATTGAAAAAATCCAATTAGAAAATAGGAAAAAGGTATAAAGAGGTATTTGAAGAGAATAGACGATGAACAATAAGAGTAAGTGCACAGGAAGATGTTTAACATCATTAGCTATCAGATAAATGCAAATTAAAACTACCACGAGGTATCCATACACATCTATCAGAATTGCTAAAATACAGTGACAAAACTAATACAAAGATATGGAGAGACTAGATCACTCATGCATTGCTGGTGACAATGTTAACTTTGGAAAAAGGTGTGGCAGTTTCTTAAGCATGCACTTACCATATGACCTATTAGCACCCTTGAGCATTTATGTCAGAGAAATGATTCATGCTCACACAAAAACCTAAACATAAATGTTTACAGGAGCAAATGTCTATTTGTAACAGCCAAAAGCCAGTAACAGCCCATATGCCCTTCAATGGGGGACCCATGGATACTACTCAGTGATAAAAAAAAAAAGAACTATTGACACACGCAGCACCCTTAATAAATCTCTACAATTAATATCTTTATCCTGAGTGGGAAAAAAAAGTCCCTAAAGATTCAATATCTTATGATTCCATTTATATAATCTTGAAATGACAGAATTAATAGAAGTGAAGATTAGTGGTTGCTAGGGCTTAGGAAAGGAGTGGGTGCATTGCTATAGAAGGGCAGTGAGTGATCCTTGTGATGGAAATGTTCTTGACTATAACAATGTCAGTGTACAGATTGTGATACTGAGTTACAGTTTTACAAGGTTTACCACTGGGGGAAACTGGGTAAGGATAAACGGGATCTCTCTGAATGGCTACTTGCAAATCAATGTGAATGTACAGTTATCTCAAAACAACAAGCTTAATTACAAGATTTGTGGAAGTTCTACACATGGAAATTGTACAGGGTGTTTCCTCTGTGAATTTGGATCTAATTAAAAGACAGGGTTTAAAATATAACTATTAAAAATACATAATCCCTATAGATGATGATTTAAAATAATTAGTTCCTAATTTGCAGATACCTATTATAGGAGCCACTCATTCCATACCAGAGCTGGATCAGGACCGCTCTCATCCTTCCTCCCCTGCTGAAGTGAAAATCCCCTTCCTTGTAGGACAGGGAGAGCTCCAAGGACCGCTGACGATGAGGCTTACTTCCATAGACCTTGTCCAGCATTTGGATATACTGCCATTTTGATTTTGAAAAAGCCCTCTCCAGACAGAAAACTGCCAAAAGGTGCCTCTTTGATTTGCCCAAAAGAGCAAATCATTTTAGCAATAGGCTTCACTTTCCTCAGCCTGCCTACAGCCCTGAGCCAAGACACTGGGTTTGGCAAGCAGAGTTCAAGCCAGAATTCAGCCCCTATTTGTCTCCCTTGGCAGTTGCCTTACTGTGGGACCATCTGCGCCATCCTATACAGCAGCGCTGAGTCCTACCTCCAAACCCAGGACCTTTCCTTCTGCTGCTGGTGGAGGAAGGAAGAGCAGCTGGACCCTCCTGGGGAAATCAAGCTGTCAAGACTTCTTTCCTGCAGGATGGCTTCCCACCTGCTCCCTCCATTTGCTGGGTTTCCATGTGGAGTTTGGGAAAGAGGCAGGAGAGGAAACCTAGCACTTACTGAGCACATTCTATGTCCTATAGCTTTTCATGGTGCTGGAGAACATCATGTGGCATTTTATCATTCTTTCTTAGCAGATGAGATCACTGAGGCTCAGAGAAGTGAAATTCATTTGCTAAGGCCACCCAGGAAGGAGAAAAGAGTTGGACTGAAGTCCAGGACCACCCAATGCCAAATAAAAATGACTCCACTGTGGCCCATACTAGATTCTTGGCCAACCACTGAGGGGGGAGCTCAGCTATTTAGCCAGGTCGTTAGCCTTTAGCTAAGCCTTGACCTTAATGGAATGAAGGCCAAGGAGTCTAAGAATACAAATTTCAACTGGAAGGCCATGATAGAGGAGGGAAACGTGGAGTTGGCATGAGATCGGATGGTTTGATCCCTGACTTCACTTGGTTACGGTATGGTCTCAAGCTGAGGCCAACATATGCTAAGGACTTGAGAAAGGAACCCTGAAAATCAAAGAAAGAATCACTAGGGTGAGTAGAAGAACTTGTGAGACTAAAAAGAATCCAGGACAGTATGAGATATTTTGCTTTAGCGATTGAAAAATTCCATTGCTTTCTAATTGTAAACATTGAAATAAAGTACATGAATTCCCTTTACGAGTTTAAGAAAACACCTTATATAGCTGATGGACAAGAGACTAATGCTTGTGGTAGAAACATTTTTATCAAAAAAAGAAAACTTCTGAGTTTGAGGCAAAATCAGGCACAAAAAGGACACAGCATCTCAGCCACTGGAGTCCTTGTAAGTGGCCTGAAGGCCCAAACACAATGTACCCTCATACTCTACCTATAACCGGTGTGTCACCAATTTTATTTCTTAAAAATTTAGATTACCAGTGTTTTATGTTTATATGTAAATATTTTAGATTCTAGAGGTGTTTAAACATTTATTTAAAAGAACCATTTATTTTCCAGCATTTATTTCCCAATTCATAATTATTTACATTATGTGTTAAACAGGTTTTGGTGGACTGGGAATCTAGCCAGCATTTGTGAGACTGTGTTTCTAAGATAACATGCATTCCCAGTTCCCAATACCCTAGTTACAAAAAAATTCTCTGAACACAATAAGTATTGTTAACTTCACTATTCAGTGAACAATAGAAAATATTAATAATTCAGTCTATTCTTCAATTTTCAATTCTCCTTTCCTGAATTACAACTTTTTTCAATTTGATCTATACTCCTTCAGGTTGAGTTTTGTGTTCTAGGGAAAAGCAAAACTAGAATGAAGGAATATGAAACCTTTGGTTCA